CAAAACTCAGTGTACTTTCTCTTTTATAAACTATTTGGGATTAAAACTAGGAGCTCATCCATATCAACTTTGACAATGGACACAAATACAGGGTAAGCTAATCAAGCCAAACAAGTTGAATTTTCCCCCTCATAGCAGGCTCTTTTAATCTCAAATGCCTACTGAAATTTACAGACATGCTACACTTATGTTTTGACAGTTGTTTATTAAAATTGCTTTCCTAGGAAGTTCTATGAAGCCAAGAGTCTAGTCTGTATCAGAACTGAGGCAATCGGAGAGAGTCGAGATGATGGCATACTTGCAGCAAGCAGACAACAATAGGAAACTCTTAGCACTCCCAGAGTTGCATCAAATTTTCCATGGACCGAAACTAAAATGAAATAGTTCAATTACTAAGAGGTAGATAAGTAAAATAAACAACTAATTTCATACAGTGAAGTTGGGAGAGAGTCATATGGACCTCATTCTGTTGTCTCTAAACACTGTTTTGGAGGGAAAAAAGGAGCTGAATAAACTTTAAACTCTCATGTAGGGATGTATTGCTTGTGTGTCCCTGGCAGATGTGGAAAGGAGATGAAATGGGCAAGGGAGAATCAAATATCCCATCGCTGCAGGTTTGCTGAGGGAAAGAGCACTGCAAAGATCTCACATCTGGCAATCATTTGTCAATAGCTGGAAAGAGAACGGCAGGAAACTTTCTGGCTCTTGGAGATGAAAAGACAAAAACCATGTGTCACACACACACACACACACACACACACACATTCTGCAATGGTAAAATGACTACTACACTTATTCTCCACCCCCCCTTCACCCCCACCCCCCCAAATTTAATGATCTTCAGATATACTCTACTCCGTGGTCAAAAACATGCAGTCACTTGACTTGTTAAAGCTGCAGTGTATGTACATTTTTCAAATAAACCCCAGGGCTGATGTTAGAAAATCAAAATCAGTCAAGCATAGACCGCCTGGTACTTTGGGCAGGAATCCTTGCGGTTTAGTCAATAAACAGAATCTGAATGAAAGACACCACAGTAACTAGACAGTAACGTTTTGAACAGTTCTTAACCTGAAGGGGGGTTGGGGAAGGCGGGTGTACTAGTGACCATGGACATAAGGCTACCAGTCCACTTAGATGGCTCACTCTACCTGCAACATGACTGTGTTTAGTTCAAGGTCATCTGCTGTTTCTCTCTCTCTCTCTCTCTCTCTCTCTCACACACACACACACACACACACACACACACACTGAACTTATATTTGAGGAATGTTGAATGTTGTGAATGAATTTGGAGAGAATACAGTTTGTTGTTGTTTTTAAATAATTCTACCTGTTTAATAGGGTGGGAAGGGGAAATCTCAAATTCTTTTTGGTTCATACTAGTGATAATAATATAGAAAATTTGCTGGCTTCATTATGAGTTCATAAAAATGACCAGTTTTGCCCTAGCAGGTTTATTATGCAATAAAAAGTTTTCAAGACAACCCACACAAAATTAATTAACTTCTCCAAAATCATAGGAATTTAAATCTGGTCATGGTGATCGATAGACTTCAATAAGCAGCTTTCAGTTCACCCTTATGCTGCATTTAACTAGCAGCAGCCGCCAAGCTCATCCCTGTGATTCCATAAGTGAATGCTGCAGGTTGTTTAATAACCTGGCAAATTCACAGTAGCTTGTCAAATTATTACAGGAACAGTGTCATCACTAAACAAGCCTGATCACGGTTAATTACAATGCAGACTAGAGAGCAGCCACAATTGTTCATTAATTACAGGAAGCACCTCATTTAAATTTTATGGAAATTTACACTTGCACCCCGGTATGTCTGGGAAAAAAAAAAGTGATCCTTCACGCATTCACAGAAGAAAGGAGTCTGTGGTTTATGAAACATCACAGTAAATTGTGTCTAATCTGATACTGAAATATTGGTTCATTATTTACTCTAATTTTCTAAGCACTTTAGTGGTGAAAAATATCAAGCCAACCCCACATCTTGAATTCCCAACCAAGAAAAGAACGGTGTTGGGCTACCTGTAACAACTTAATACAGGATAAGGCACAATTAGACTTAAAAAGTAACTTTTCTCTAATTGAAAATATAATATTTAATAGGAATTAGGGGAAGTCTAAACTAGAATAACCATTTCCTAGAAAATAATTATTTAAGAGCACAATTTTTTGCTAATATACATCAGTTAACTTCCCAAGCTATAAGAAAGTACAGTTTCATACCCACTTCAAAAACCAATGAGGAGGGGCACCTGGGTGGCTCAGTGGGTTAAGCCTCTGACTTTGGCTCAGGTCATGATCTCAGGGTCCTGGGATCAAGCCCCGCTTCAGGCTCTCTGCTCAGCAGGGAGCCTGCTTCCCCTTCTCTCTCTGCCAGCCTCTCTGCCTACTTGTGATCTCTCTCTCTGTCAAATAAATAAATAAAATCTTAAAAAAAAAATAAGGAAAATCAAAATTAGACAGTGAATCAAAGTCTTGATTTCCAGCTACTTTTCTAAATCAAACATATTAACACAATAAGCCTGAAGACACACTTGCAAAAGTTAAGTAAGACACAGACTTCACGATAACAGTCATTCAAAACCAAAGATATGTTCATGAAAGAGTGTCAAGGATCTTGGAATTATTAAGCAATAAAGTTGCTAAGCCATCTGAAATTTTAGGGATAGAAAAAAAGAGTGAAAAGGAAAGAGGTAAGAATAGAAAGGGACTCCACCAGTCAAGAGAAATTATGTCAGCTAAAATAGAAAAGTTAAATCAGATATGGGCAGTGTGTGTCTAAATGAAAATCCTTCATAGGAAAGGATATAAACAAACTATCGCTCCTAAATCAAGGTGTACAAGAGGTTATTCTCAGAATCAAGAGGCCAAAATAGCAAATCCTCTAGTGGTTATAATGCCTGGCCCTGAGGGACAGCCTGGGATCCAAGCAGGGAAAATAGATGTCTCTGGCAAGTCCTATGGTGAATTCCCTGAAATGCAGAATTAAGACTAAAAACTAAGAAATGCCTCATTTCGGGGGGGCGGGGGGGGGACTAGAATACATGCCCCATAGCAAGAATGAAAGGACTCTAGAAGCAAAAAACTACTCCTGAAGTTGTTACCTGGTAAAGAACATATTAAGTGTCAGGTTTTTTTTTTTATGTCTGACATAATGTGGATATATATGTACCAGATATCATTAAAATGTATGGAAGTCATATTTAGAAAGGAAGAGGAAAACAAGAAGGAAATGTTCAAATGAGTCCCAGTTAATGCACCAATTCACCACACTTGACTCTTTGAACACATTCAACCTTTCCACTCGGTCTGCCAAAATGGTGTTGCAAGAGGAGGAGTCCAATAAAATGAGAGTCATTTCTTTGCCCAGGGGCTTGGTCTTCTTCACAAGGACCACGATGAATTGTCAACTCTACAAATGTTTTAACTACCTACAACCAGGGTTTCACCTAAACTAGTTAACATACATCTTCTCTCTTGGTATGTTAAAATAATATGCTCCATTGGTCCCTTTCAGTTTTATTTCACAGTCACATCTGCAAAACCCATTGCTCTTCGCTTCATAACTCAAGGTTCACAAACAGATTATCCAACAACCACCCATGACAGACCATTCCAGGTGATGTGTTTGAAGAACATCACTTGTCCTACCCAAAGAGGTCAAGGATCAGACCACTCTCCATGAAAAGTCTTCCATCACTCTGCATTTATGTGTCACACACAAGCTGTTCGCTTTCGAAAACTGGGAAATACATGATCATGTCTCATATGTGTCACACCTGCTTTTCTGTTGTACTGTAGCCATGCACCACCCAGACAGGACCAGCTTGTGGTACAGCGGAGCTCAGGTGGTCTTCCCTAGGCCAAGAGCAGGTGTGCAGGAGACAGTACACTCTTCAGCACCATAAAAACTGAAACCTCCTCCTACCACCACTTCCACCTTACTCCAACTGTGAAGAAGTCAATTTTTAAAACTATTTTCCTTTCTCATGCAAGGTTTCTAAATCAGCAAAAGTGCTTTAAAACCAAGCTCACCAAGCTTATCCGATATGTCTGAAAATTTAGAAAATGATGCCAAATGCAGGTTCTGAAAAAATATAGTATGTGTTTGTTCATGCTAGGGGATGCCATCCATGTTACTACTTCAGCCAGTATTTTTGCATTAGTAGCACACACATTGCTTAAATACTACATGGCACACAGAGTAAAGGTAGGTCTTTGAGCTACGTGTCATACTTATATTCTTTATCTATGAAATATCGAACTACTTCTAACGTCCCAAGACCACATAACATGAGCTAAATTCCAAATAAATACTTTCACTTGACTAAAGAACTTAAAATTGTATCCCAGGACATATCTCTCCATACATGAAAAGGGAAGATAGTTACCATTAAATCATACTTTTCTAGTACGGTGCCCAATGGCTTCTGTTCTCCTGAGCTAAGAGACCATCACGCGGGAAGCATGACTTGCTCACCATGTGTCTCTATTGCCTAGCATAGAACCATGCACATGATAACGATGCTTTTAAAAGATAAGAGCTAGTCTTTACTGAGGGCCTCTTATGTGCCAAGCCCTATGCTACCAGCTAGGTAGATGTTAGAACATTCACTCCTCATAATCACCTTCGGTGGCAAGTCCCCATTTTACAGATGGGAAAGCTAAAGCCCAGTGTGGCTGAGTGACTCTGCCAAGTGTCTCACAGTAACTTTTGTAAAGCGAGGCAGCCAGCCTTCAGAAAACATGCTCTTATCTACCGCAGTATATGCCATTTCTTGGATGAATAAACGAGCTATCTCCAGTTACAGACAATTTAGCCTAAAAAGGACTTTTTGTGGCACACATGCCACCCTGGTTCTTCCTTTAAACCTATCTCTACAACTGTCCATCTCCTGATGACACTGATGTATCCATGTCAGACATTCAGGAACCACTGTTTCTGCCACACCACCCCCAACTAGTAAAGCAGTAAGACTCCAACCTGGACTTCCAGCCTCTGGTCTGGCTCCTCCAGGTTTGGGCAGAAGTCTGCACCCAGCACTCTGCCAGCACATGCCACTGGAACCTGGGGGAATATGGCCAAGTTAGATGCTGGGTGTGGAGGCTGCTAAGAACTGCACACAAACACATCTGTCCTAGACAGAAGCAGGGACATTCCAACTGCAGGTATGAAACAGGCCAGCATGGCTTCATTGGTTTTTGACACTTACTACATCAAATATGTTACAAATAGCATGTAACCAAGTCTATTAACTACCAGAAGGCAAATTCTAAGAAGAAACGATCCACAAAATTTTTATTCCCCCTTGTATCCATAGCATGTAGCACAAAGCAGGCATTTACTAAATATCTCAGGATGGAAGGAGGAGAGAAGGTTAAAGTACAGACGAAAAGGAACATAGAATCTCTGCTTGACATTGGTGACATTTTCTCCCTTTTCTAATTTTCTTATGGGAGGATGAAGAACATTGTCTTCTAATTTTTTTCTAATGTCTACAGTTCCTTTCCACTGTAAAATACCTGTTCAAATTTATTTTTCCTATTCATGATATAAGTTAGCACAGACTTTATCAATACTTATTATTTACTATCTCTAAATTTAAACAGGCTTATTTTATGTCTGTTCCAATAATAAAAATGCTAACAAAACAGCTATAACTTAGAATGTTTCTCTATATCTAAAATTCTATACTGAAAGCCACTAAGATTCCCTTTCAAATCTATGTTAACTTAGTCTATCTCATCCCAAAATACTGCCTCCTGTTACCTGCTTACTTCATTTTAGATTTTTTTGAGATAAAGACAAAAGGACTTGGATTCCATCTAAACCTGTTTTCTGCCTTTTAAAAAAGTTCTCTGAATCACTACTCAATATTTGCAAACACACGCTATCTTCGTTAATCATACAACTATCTTTTTTCATAATCTCATTCCATCAATCAGCTTCGTCCCACCTGTCTTCTTTCCCTATCAAGGCCCACCTTTGCTGTTTTGTTCTGAGCTTTAACCCCACTTACCATCATCTGTGCCAGTCAATTTTCTTTGTTCAGAGATCAGTTTTCAGCCAAGTGTGCTGCCTTAGAAGTCATTTTCCTCTTTCTTTCAAACCACAAATCAGTTCACCTCTCTAAATTTAAACAATTTCAATAAAGTCCACTTTGCAAGTTTACCAGTGATTATTACCAATATTTTTAAAAAGCACTCAATTTTTTGGACATTTTGGGGACCAACTCTCCTATTCTTTTTAAGTCTCACATTCTTTCTTCTTACCCACACCCATAAGGTAACATGGACAGATTATCATCTGTCTTGAACTTAACTGCTCTTCATCCACAAATCTCGTAGTGGGGCCAAGAGGGGAAGCGAGAGAGGTCATGTTTACTGAGTACTTGTGATGTGCCAGTCACCATGTGGGCACCTTACACATGGACTGACCCGGTTTTTTCCCTTGCAACCATCTTACAGGATATGAGAATCTCCCTTTGACAAATGGGGGAAAAAAAAAAAAAAAAAAAAAAAAAAAAAAAAAAAAAAAAAAAACCTGAGGCTTCCAGTAGGTAAATAACTAGCTCAGGGTTCCGTGCTAGAAAGTTGCAATGCCCAAACTTAAGAAATGAGAAGACTGAGAAGATATTTCGAAGAAGTTGATGAAAAACATGCAAAAGTTGTACTTAGTGGCTTCCACTCTAAAGGCATGTGTTGCTATTTCATATGAAAGAAATTACAAAAAAGACAGAGTAGGTGGAGAAAGTGTGTTATCAAGAACCACCACTTGCTCTGTGGCCTAGGGCAACATAGGCATCATGAAGTTATCCTCAAACTTGAGGCACAAGAGAGAAATGGGGCACGAAGATGAGCAGGGACGCAGTGCATGTGTGTTGTGGCACACACAGACCCATGCTGATGCCTGACGCCACCCCTCAGCTGACATATGGAGGGGCACTAATGAGTTCTGCAACAGTAATTCTCCCTACGGTGCAATAGAAGAACTGGGGAAAAAAATTAATCTTTGAATATTCCGTATCAAAACAACCCCCCCCAGCTTCTTATAAAACCTCAATAAATGTAGCTACTTAACTGATTAAAGCACATTCTAAAGCCAGTATATATACACTCCAAATCAAGTGTAAGTAATACTCTATTTTATGTACACAAAACAAATTCCCGCTTACCTTAACATTATTAGATCGGGTCACCAATACTAGGTTTCTAGTTCCTTTACACCACTCCCCACTCCACAAAATGCATGTTATAAACACTCTTGAGAGGAAAGGGGAAAGTTAAACAACGACAATTACATTCAATTACAACCTCAGACACTTAGAAATACACAGTTTCTGAGAGAAAACAAAAAGGTCTGTGAATAAGTTGAAAGGAAACAGTGCCAGGCTACTAAAATGTTACAGCTATCCAAATCATAAAAAGAACTACACTAGAGATGTGAGTTAGCACTCTCAAACTTAGAATCCTAGGGTTTCTTAGCAGAAAAAAATCCATCAGGATCCAGGTAAATGGGCCTTGGCATTTTAAAGATGAGGAAATTGAGTCTAAAAACAAAACCGGCCAGTTGTACTACTGGGTTCATTGTCTAACAATGTCCTCTCCCATTCTGTCCACCACACTTCGTAGCAGTATTAGATAAAGAAAAAAAATTTAAGGGGAAAGCACGCTTTGTTTCCTAATTCATCAAAATGTACCAAGGAAAAAACAAAGGATATAAAAGTTGATGACCTCATTAGTTATAATTCTGCACACCTAGACCATTAGGCCTTTTGATTTAGAAGCCTCAGTAGTGAGACAGCTAGCTAGAAACAATCAAAAACATGACTGACAGATACAGCAGACATAAATCGTCCAGCCCCTTATTATCACTCCAGTATAATTTCAGATAATAAAATATGGTATGTACCTCACCACCGTTTTCTCTGGAATATAAAATTTAAATTGATTTGGGGAACTCCAATTTCATCTGCTTTCCTTCATGCCAGCGTTTAGTGCTTTTTTTGACACCATACTTTAAAATAAAGTTCTCTACAATGATTTTCACAAAATGTTTCAGTGATTTTTTTTTTAATCTCTGAATAGCTATAAGACTCGGGGACTTTTATTTTTTGTTCTTTTTGCATCTTACTATATTTTGCTTTGAAATAAAAACATTTAAGTTAAAAACAATAAAAAATACTAAACCGACTGGCTAATATTTCTGAAAGTATGCCACAGGTTTAATTATGGGATAGTAATTGTCTAGTACTCATCTAAATTTCATTCTGCTATTGCTGTAACAGGAAGCAGGAGGCCTTGAAAGGAACCCTCTAGAATCCCCAGGGTACGCAGAAGCTGAGTGCATATCTACTCTCCAGGACATACCTCAAAGGAATCATGGTGTGTGAGAGAGCTATTTACAACTTACTTTGTGTATAATCAGCAGAAACAAAAGATATGACAACAAGCATAAAGGCCTCCCTCTCTCTCCCCTCCCTTCTCCCGTCTCAGGGGAATTCAGCAAGGGAGGGCCAGTGGGCATTCACTTCAGTGTCAAAAGGGCTTCCAGAAAACACATTTTCTGTGGGGCAGGGAGGAAATATGGCAGGCTTCCTACACACACACACACACACACACACACACACACACACAAGTTCTTTGTTTACTAAGATCACACATTAAAAACTGTTAAGGGCCAGACTTCTGAAAAGAAGTCTGAAAAAAAACCCACAACAGGAGCTACTACTCAGAATAACAAACTGAATGAGGTACAAGGTGTGTGTAAGGAAGGGGACAATGGAAGAAACAAAGAGTCACAGAAATGACAACTTGAGAATAGAAACATGTTACCAAGAAAAGGAATTACAGAGTCTGGGCTGCTTCTTGCAGAGTCAGGGCCCATTTGAAACTTTATTTTTAAACATTCAACCTTCAGGTAGCCATTTGCCTCATAGGCACTATAAAAGTCAGAGCCTAAATAAACAAACTAACTTCCATGTCAGGTCAAGACTCTCCAGTTCAGCTGGTCATAAGCCTGGATCGGTTCTGAAGGGCATGTGTTTTGGTGACTTCAGTCTAGCAGTTGCAGGGATGAGGGAAACTATCTGAACCCATGAAAAACTCCTAAAAGAGTGAAGAGACAAAATTTATTTTAAGAAGCAGAGAATGGGAGAGAGAGAGAACCCAAAAAGAGTCCCATCAGAGGACGGAGGGATGCGGCTAGGTAGAAGCTCTGTCACCCTCCAAGCCAGAGCAAGCACTGATTAGAACTTCAGTCTCATTTCAGTGGTTAGACAATGCCAAGCAGCAAGAGGAAAAATTACTCAGATAACACAAAGAATTCAGGAAGACCATTAAGTGAAATAGATTTGGCAATAAGCTAGTCATGAGCTCTTGTGAAAAGAGCAGAGAAAGAAATAAATTAATTACCCAAAACCATAAAGATGAAGACGTACACTGTACACTGCTACAAAATAAATGAATATAAAAACTGAAAAACAGATGAACTAAGTTGCTGGATGTACAGATAATGTCTATCTTAATTTTTCAGGCTGCCATTTCACTAAAGACAATATTCTGGGCCTAATCATACTCAGCCATGGAACCCCAGGCTAAGACTCAGAAGAGACAAGTATACAGAAGCTACAGCTCTAGAATCAAAATACTGCTTAACCATCAAAAAGGAACTGGTGAGTCTAAACTGTATTGATCCAGTCTCCAATACAGAATGGCCAGAAATATGCTTTATTCTTAAAGAGGCCTTAGATGAGGCAGGTGTAACAACAGGAACATGGTAATGATGAGGGATCTATTATAGGAGAATGGAGGAGGACAGAGGACAGTCCCTTCTAGAGTCAGCCCAGAATAATGAGCTACAGGATCAAGATGAGAGAGGAGGGAGCAGAAAAGGGTTAAGGAGGGATTCTGCTACTCAACAGGTTGACTGACACACAGGATTACTACAGTATGGGCACATGTCCTCACAGAAGCCAGGTAGTATTTAATTAGGGATTCATTCTCTTTCTGCCTCTGGAGCTGGTTCTCCTGGGTGAGCTGGGGGCCCTAGGCTCTGCCTAGGAGCAA